TATTTTCCTTGTTAAAACATATTTGACCACATATTTCTGTCATTTAACTCTTCACTTTACTTCCGATTTTTGTTGTTTCTATTTGTGTTTTCTATTCGAATCTATAATCAGTTTAATGGGAACACCGCCGGGTAAACGACTACTAGGTACTTTTTTCATGTTTTACCCCAAATATTTGAATGTTTCTATTGGGATTAAAATGAGCGTAGATAACTTAACAACTGGTTGTATAAATCCCTGACCTGTTTAATTCTAATTATGAGATTAGTGGATATATTAAGACTTTCACTACAAAATATTCCTAAACAAAAGAGCACATGTTTAAATTTATTCCTATACAAATAAAAGATCAGAGTAGGGATCTGTCAATTGCCAGACATATTTTTAAAAGATACTTTTATGTTAAAAGTTTGATTAATGAATTATGTAATATGAAAATATAAGTATTGCTTTTTTTATTTTGCTAATATAAAATGTAATCTTGTGGTGAAATTTTGTCGAAGAGTCCTTACGGATTTTGTAGTTAAATAGTTTTTTTCGGCGATACATGGTTTAAGAATATAATGTTTTCAACCTATATGTTCATCACCATCAGTGAATTTTTAGTTAAATGTATGCAAAATATTTACTAACAGCTATATGATATAGCGGTTTATGAGCGTTTTCCGCGTACAGCCTCCTAAGGTGTACTAATAAGTTAGTTTTCCTTAGTTATCACGCAAGCATGATCCAGGTATCTGATGTAAGCGACAGTTTACCATTATTTGTATTAAAAAAAATATTAAGGACTATTAATGGTTTATAACAACAAAAGAACATGCATGATATTGAGACTACGGTGTTCAACGTTCTAGTTAATGACCCGTCATAAACAGTTGGTCGCTGCGTAGTAATTGGAAAATTGTTATCAAAAATAATAAAGAATATTTGCCACCTAATTAAAGCATTTACCTATAAATTTTCATTTATGCTTTTTGTTAAAAAAATATTGATAAAGTTATTATGTAGAAGGGTTTTCATACCAGAACTATTTATGACCAACGTACGTATGCCTAAACCTGATTACCGCGGCAGTATGACGTCACGGAGTAGTGATTTTGAAAAAATAAACAAACAAAAATCAAGAATTTTTCAGAGAATTATTATATTTACAAATTGCAGATATGAAGTTAAAGAATGAAAATATTTTCATATTGTAAATGTCTGTGATGACTGATGAGTCAGCTTTAAAAAAATCAAGGTACTATTTTTTGACCTGATTACCGCGGCATTAAGATTTGACAAATGGTATTAACATTGGGGAGGCATAGCCTCCCCAAAAACTATACTGAGTTCTTTCCCTTTGCTGTACATGCGCCATTGCAGTTGTCATGATGCTCTCTAGCGTTTGGTTATTTAAATAACCTTTCTTTGACATGTGCTTTAAAATGCCGCAATAAACATATGCTGTTTAAGTCCGGGTTAAAATTTGAACTTAATCAAATATTTTATTTTACATCTAGCGAGATATAATTATTGTATGTAACCTGGGATGTACTATATTCGTATCGTATGTTCCAGATGTAACAGTAAGGAACAATACTCTAGGTAGATCTAAAGTTTATTAAACTTTATCAGTTTATAATGTAAAAGTAAAGATACAATCTTATTCATGTCTTTGGTAACACAAAGTTACGTTGTGATATACATGTATGCAATTTTCTCTTGTAATAGTCACTAATTCAAAGTAGATTTTTCGGGCTACAGTACAGTAAGGGAGTTAATTGTGATTGGAAACTTAGGATAAGTGATATGTAAGAGTTATTTCCTTGCTTCCTTGTGTGTACTGGGACCGGACAATCAGTTTACCGGACAAAATCTATTCCTGTCAAATAAGGCTTAATTTTTTGCTTCGATTAAAAGATCACCCGGTCTGAATCGTACACACACTTTCTATTTCAAAGTAAATAACAACAAAACCACTCACAGGCAAATATTGTTGATTCAGTTCTTTATTTACTAACATGCCCTTATGTTTACTAGTTATTCCATGACCTGGTCATGCGAGGGAATAATCTGTTCTGCGCATTCCCGAATATTGAGGCCCTTAATGGGTGATTTTAGATAGGTTTTATTTTTAATTCTTCTCAACGTTACCTCAGGAGACAATCGTAACATATTTTAATAATAAAAAGTAATTTTAAATTTCGTTCAAACAATATCTCGTTGTTGTCTTTTACAAAGAAATGCAAAATAAAAAACATATAAGGAAACGGGTTACGCCCATGGGAGGAAACTTTACATGAAATGTACAAAAATAGATTTTATGGCTTTTGCAACATGCTACATGATGACCAAAAGGAAACTGTATGAGAAAGAACAGAATTCCATTTCAATATCAAAATGTGTTATACGTTTAAGGATCATGAAGAATCAATACGTTAATTGAGTTAATAGTGTTAATTTCAATTACACCCCTATATTGGCCTTTTCGTAACAAGCATGGCTGCCGTGTCTATTTTAGTGACATACTGGGTTTTTCCAGTATCTAAACATTGCCATTCAATAGTCGTAATTTCCTTGCTTAATTTCAATTTAAGACTTCAAAAAATTTTGAAACACAATGTCCGGTAAATTGAGTTGTCTACACGATTTTTTCCCTCTTTTAATGCCCTACTTTAAAGACACATTTCTACCGTCAAATGTTTAATTTTATGCTTGATAAAGGAATGTTTACGTATACTAAGAACCCACAATTATTTGGGTAAAATTTCATTCTTTTTTATTATTTCAAATAAAAGTTACAGCGAAAAAACATCATATTTTGTCCGGTAATATGTAGGATCCCAGTAGATAATATAACCTTTCCAGATCTCATTCATTCTCATTTGTGTCCCATGAACCCTTTTTTTCCTTATTTACATGTACATTCTTCTGTCCTTAAATAAAATCTCAAGTAACATTCTTTGCAGACGACACTGTTTAATATCTTACCACCAATTCCTCCTCAGACCTCCCAACACTCAAAACATGATCTAGACAACATGGTTCTGTGGGAGAAGCAGTGGGACATGGAGTTTAACCCTTTAAAGTACCAATTCATTCATTGCTCCATAGCCAATTCCCAGAATCTTTCTCTAAAATTGAATATGTAGGACCTGAGACTCAGAAGAGTAAAATTTGCTCAAATTAATTTGCACCTTAATTTTACCCAATTTAACTGATATAAGTAGAATGCATTACTGTGTCACTCAATACACAAAGGTCCTAAATAAAGGCACTGTTATAGTATTTAATTTTTTTCTCACTATCTAATTAAAATATTCAGTCCAGAAGAGTATGTCACAATAAAACATTTCAATAAATAGATAAGAAAATTTTGTGGTATTTGTGGCTGAGTGGTTAAGATAGTTGACTTCAAACCACTTGCCCTTCACCTCTGTAGGTTCAAATCCCACCAAGGACTTTGGATTTTGTCCAGCTAGCTTATTGAATGTTGGTGGATCTACTCAAGTCAGTCAGGTACCTGCTGTGCCTGGTATAATGCATGAAAGGCACCTGAGATTTGGGTAGCTTAGTCTGTAGATCTTCAGAGCAATGGCCTAAGGGCCACTAGTTTTGAGTTCAAGTCAGTCTGCAAATGAGTGAACAGTTTTGTACTGTGACACTTATATAACATTGTTTTTAATATATTATTACAAGATATGACAAACTAAAAGAACAACATTTCTGTTTTAGTTCTGATGGTGTGATGATGTCAAGCTAAGGGCTGTAACTAAAGGGGTAGTGCAGAAAGGAATAATTGCAAGGCATTACATTGAATTGTTTGTATTAGTATCTATTAATCTTTAATATTTCTGATGAAAGTGGACCTAATTTCCTAGAAGTTAGTTGTTCTACTTGTACATTTGAACGTCATGTAAGTATTAACATCAAGGTATTGGATCTGTTTTGCCAAAATAAATGACTCGCATACTTCAAAAGGAGTGAGGACTACTTATATGATGGCCCCTATACAGAAGGTGATTCTACCTTATTCTTGAAGTAAACTCGCTAAAAGTAGGACCCCCACTTTTGTAAGGTCTTCTTCCAACTCTTAGCCACGGGGGTACGGCTCATTGAATTTTCCCAAAATATGTGTTTGATAGCTGAAAACATTTATCCAAAGTCAAAAATTAATTCCATGTCAAATTCCATTACACTATAATATTTTTACTTATATAAAGACTGTACAGTGTAATGGGAATGGATAAATGTTTTCGGCTAGTATCAAACATATATTTTGTGAAACTTGAATGAGCTGTAAACATGTGCTCTAAGCCTGACGGGATCAAATTATTCCCATGTGTTGACAATGTGAACAGTGCAGACCAAGATCAGCTGGTACATGTCATCTCATCATGGTCTGCACTGTTCACTATTCAGTCACTACATATTTTGAAATTTTCTCTTAAAAGATGACTAGTTTTGTCAAGATAAAAAGATAGACAAGTGCATTTAATTAAGATATACAGGGTGGTATAGGTTAAAAGTGACTATAGTATGTATAGTACATGTATATTTCACTTAAAAAGTCACCTAAATCAGGAAAAATTTGCATTAATAAGCTATTATCAGTGGCATTGAATTTTAGTGATGAAGCGTGTATGTTTAGATTTACTATAATTGTAAATTGCAATAAGGTAATACTTTATTAGTCTATGTACTGCCTATTTTAATTAATTTGGCTTATACTTGATATGTATTTGCAAAATTACTTTTAGTTGAGCAGAAATTAAAATGCTTCAAGAAAGATCCTACAGAATTTCTTTCCAACTGCAAATGGCTTTGCAGATTTCAGTTTGCAGCACAGTAAATGTATGGGTCGGTATTCAAACCTGTCTTGGCATTTATTTATTGTAGTGAGAGACCTTTCTATGGCAAGATTTTTATAAAGAAAGCTTAGATCAAGTGACATCTTTATCGTCTGCTGGATCTAAACACTTTTCATTGACAGACCATACTACAATAGGTTGTCTTGTAGTATTTCATTATTATGTAATTGGTAGATTAGACAATATTATAAAGAATATTTTTATTTCAGAAAGGATACTACGATCAAGCCATATCGTCGCCATTATCCGAACCTACCCAGGCAGTTAATGTAAGATAAATAAAATCGTAAAATGAACTACTGTTTACATTACCATATATAGTAATATACTATTAAATAAAAAATTCTTCACGTGCGATATTTAATACTTCACAGGTCGATGTTATGTTAAATTTAATTTTGTCTCTAAATATTATCTTTGTCCAGTTATGTTTTTATTTCCATATGTCGGAGAATGGCACAGTACTGAAGATAATATTTTTATATTAGTGTAACGATATTATGTTCGCTTATCAAATTACACTTACTTATCCAATAAAAATACCGCACCTAACTTTTTTATGGTTTCCGTTTAAGGAGATTTTTATACATAACACAAAGTACTTTTGCTTTCACTTTTTGGTTTTACTTTTGTGCAAAATTTGTTTCATATCTAAATTTAAGATCAGATTTGACAATAAATTTAGTTTTCCCGCCAAATCGAGCAAGCTGTTGTCGAATAATAAGGTACTTTAATATCAGGTGTGTTCGGAAAAGATTAAGACGTTTACTTTTGTTGAAAGTCATAATAAGGTCTATCACATTTTAACGTTTACAAGTCTCAATTTTCATTTATATAGTTCTCATATAGCTTTAATGCCTTAGGCTGTGAAGTTATTGGGCAGCTTATGTCACTGACAATAGAATAAAGTTTAACGTAAATATGACCTTGCATGTATTTGCATACAATAGTATCAATATTGAGATCAGAAAGTATAAACCTTATAAGGGACTTGTTTAAATTATTTCTGTCTTAAGTTATATTTGGATAAATATTTGCGTTAGTGTACATTTCAGACTCAAAGCGCGTTAGACTGTACACACAGTTTTGTCACAGATGTAAGCGACCATAAAGGGCAATGGTTGGGCTATCTTAGTGAATGGTGAAAACATTATCTGCTCAGTCAGCTTGTATATGTTGTGTACGGGTTGTGTGGATTTTATACTAACGTGTGATATCTTTATTTGGAAATATAACCATACACGGGCATTGCAGGTACATTGTCATTATTTTACATTGATTTATAAGTAGTATTAGTAACATGTTTTTTTCATACCCATGTAAGATGGCATCTGTGATTATACATGGTATATCAAAATCGCATTTCCAAAGATTATCGATTGATATGCTGATAAAATTTTCAGAACAAAGGCAATTTTTTTATAGTTTTAGTTTTATTATGATCAGGTTAAGGCAAGAATAAAAACAAAAGATGTTAAGAATATAATATTTTTGAACTTGTATGAGTATAGTTATAAGTGTAAGTTTGGGGTGATGTGCATATTTTACATGTATGTCTTTAAATAATAATTAATATTTAAACTTATATTTGCTGAATTTTTTTTTAGGGGAAATATTTGCCAAATTTGAATTTTTATGTGGTCATATTACATGTATGGGAATCATGCGGCTTAAAAAGAAATAAATTGAAGTGACAAAAATAGCACATTTTTTCATTTAAAAAAAAAATTTGCATGCAAATTTGATAGTGATTTTCGTTATGTATATTGCACCATTACGTTATTTTTATGTGAATTTTTGGAAAGTATAATTGGAAACATTTGTATCTAATTAAATGTAATTTTTCTGCATGCCAATCTAATTTTTTTATCAGCAAGACTTGTCAAAAACAAATGCAAAGTTTTCAATTTAGATAAAATATGTACATTTACAGATTATATTAACATTTTTTCCCCCACCTGTTCTGAATTAGATATTACTGTATATAGGCTGCATAAGTCAATTAATTTACCTTAACTAAGAATATTTTTCTTGAACTTTATTGAAAAAGGATAAGTGTAAGGTTGATTTTTTTTGCAGACAATTATTGATTCATATTCACATAAAAAAACAACAGAAAAACATTGTTCTTTAACTCATACCTATGGAATTGGGAATTTCAGCAATGTTTTGTTAAAAATTGGGAAAAATGCATGATTGAAATTGTGCAGTGATTCAATAAATGCAAACAATCTCTGTCTAGGATGGTATCTTCAAACATTTAAGCATTATAACATTGATGAAAAAGCCCTTATATTTTCATTTCTTGACCTTAAATTGGGAATTTTTTCCTGAGGATTGGGAAAATTATTTTCAATTGGAAATATGACCGAAAAATGGCTGTAAAATAAGCCAAAAAAAATCACTTGTGATTTAAATGGCCAAGGGATTGACAGAGCTTGATTGATTAATATATGGAGAGAGAAATATTATTTTTTTGATAAGCATATACTTTATAGTTTTACATCACCCCACTGATGTCAAATTCGTAATTCTTTCACATTCTGTCTTTCTTTTAAAGAGGTTCATAAGAAATCAATTTAATATTCTGAGCCTATCATTAACATAATTTACTTAAATGCTAATTCATGGTTAAGTACACAGGACACTTAGCAAAATTGTGTTTAAATAAACTCTCTCTTTCAAAGTATTGGCAATTCAAAATAGCACTACTATTTTATCTACATTGAAATCTTTACCACATAAATGGACTGTAAAGGTGGTGAATGAATATAGACTAGATTTCTGGATTTTTTCTACTGATAGAGCCAAAAGTTTGCAAGTTTGTACATTTAACGGATGACAGGGGTTGCATAATACCTGAAGCCTCGTTAAGCGTTTGATACTTTTGAAGGGTTTGTCTCGAGCATTGTAGACCTGGCTAAAGGTTACGCTGAATGACTCTCGGCGTCACAGCATGTCGGTTCGCACAATGGACGACTGTCGTACCCAAATTTATTAGCTGTGACACTCAGTCCTAAGATGTTTAAGAAGTTGATAAAAAACAGAAAAAGAAATGAAAAGAAAGCCCTCGGTATCTATGTTTCAGATCTGTTGTGTCACATAGGTTTAAACTTCAGTTAACATCTGTTCCCCCCATCTTACAGATCATTGTGATTTTAAACAAAGTAAATTTACACAAACAGTTTCACATCCTTTCTATGCAGTTGGAGAGGACAATGTCACTATAGAATTTGATACACTTGGAACAGTAATACTTAAAAGCTTAATTACAAGCTAGTTAAGGGAAATGTAAGGTTAAGTTTCATATTATGAAAATGAAGTAATTCAATATTTTAGTTTATTTTGAAACTTAGAAGATATGACAGTTATGTTCACGTGTGATTGATATGTTGCATGATTTAAAAATTACTTTTTAAAGTGTTACGTAAATTTTATATTAAGATGTAATGATATGAAAAAGATAAAAACTTAACAGGAAAATCTGTACTACAGAACAATGCTTCATATAGGCTTGTTGCATAGTAACAAAGGGTGAGCAGGATGCCAAGTAAATCAGCCTGTGTGGGTAATCTGTAGGGTTTTCACTTTTTTGTTCCCACCCTTTAATAGGGTGGTTATATAGATTTTCCTTGTCCTTGAAGTCTTGTAGACTGACAAAACAGCTGAATGTAGGTCACATCCTCTGGACACATTTCTAGTTTAAAACATTGCTCCTTCAATGTGAAGAGTGGCGGCCTGGCCAAGTGTTTAACACGTAGGACTAGTAATCTAAGGATTGCTGACCACATGGGTTCAAACCCTGTCAGGGGCAAGCTGTTGTTTCCTTGAGCAAGAAACTTTACACTCATTGCTTAGTACTGGTTGGTTCCAGGAACAGATTCGAGAGTGTTTCAATAAGCTTATAGCTTCCAACACAATCAAACTGAAAGAAATTTGTTTAAACTAATATGAAGTTATCATTTGGTTATAGAGAATTACATATCTCTTTAACCCTGATGTTTGTCATATTTATCCTAATAGATTGTCAGATGAATTTTTCGAAACATTTTAAAACCTTTAAAAGATAATCTAGCTAATCTGGAACACTTTAAACAGTCATTTATGAAGAATGCGAAACAAGTTAACATGTGTTTGATAAACGCGGTAATAAAAGTTAACATTTCAAAGTGTCTTTTCATTAAGTAGATTAATTCCGATTTGATCATGTTTATTTTGATAAAATTCCAAGTTCTGACCGGACAGATAAGTTGCTGCAAATTGGTAGCTGCAAATTGTTATAATAGCCTCGTACAACTTATCTCAGTTGCTAAGTTGTTTAGTCCGCAGTGTTTTGTCCTTAACTGAGTAATTGCCATATTTAGACAATTTTCTATTAGTTAACAGTTTGATAAAAAGTTGTTTGCTGATTTACAATGTGAAAACCCTGGACATTTTTTGTCAGGTTTAGATATTTAAGGCGGGTGACTCATGTTATTCTATGTCAGAGTTTAAGTATTTAAACAAGTTTGATTGATAAACAAAGCTGTACTTTATCTAGGCATTGGAGCAAACTGAAATCTTTCGATATTCAATGCTTTGCCAAATCCAGTCTGACCTTTTTTTCTACTTCAATACAACAGGCTTGTTTAACACCTGCTTGCGTTCGGTCGCGAAGTTTAGCATGGTCGTACAGACCAAAAAATTCCTTTTAAGAAATATAAACTTTCAGCTGACTGGTCTTTATTGACTTTTCATGTGAAATATTTTTTTAGGGCGTAGGTCAATATAGGTACCCTTGTTAGGTATTGAAAAGTCATTCAAGTATTATTTACTTTGGAAAATTGATACAGTGGTCTTTATAGGTATTAATTAAGTAAGCGTATTTACTTTTACAAGTTCGGAATTTTTGCTTATAGCGAAAACAATTGATAGTGGAATGAAGTAATTTTGGCCGATCAAGTTTTTCCTTTTGTTTTATACGTTTGCTTTGTGTGCCGTTTACTCAAGATGTTATATTAAGTGCGATGGTAAACAAAAAGGGCTTTGATTTGATGAAGTGTAGTAATATAAATTTGTAATAGTGCACATAGTGTTGTAATGAAATGTTTATTTATGGCAACAATAAGTTAGTTTAGTGACTCAACAGGTGTTTAAATAGTGATGTTTGTTCAGGAAACAATACAAGTGTTGATATCAGGTAAATATTAGTCCTATCTCATTACAACACTGTGGTTAGTCAACAATTTTCAAAGAATAAGTCACTATTGGTTTGTACTGATTCCCTTATATAAACTGACCTTGATAACAACCTTTCTGCCTTGGTATTTTTATACCTGAAAATATATCATGACCACAATTTTATTGTAAAACTTAACAGCCTATAAAAGTTCATCTTCTGCAAAAAAATACTAAAATATAACTTTAATGTCATCTAAATATGGGAATCAGAGAGAGATTTTAATGTCAAATAAAGTTTATATGTCATTTAAAGTTTCAAGAGTTAACTTTAATAGATGTTATTTTTTTTCAATCTGTGTTAATATTTTTATTGTGGAGTAATAAAGAAGATTTTGGAAATGTATTGAAAATAAGACTCTCCTGCAATCATGGTAAAGGACACTGGCATAATCAGTTCTGGAGATTCACAAATATGACCATAGTGATATGATATTATGAACAATGAAATTGTGATGTTGTTATTGTAACATCATTTTGTGAAATTATGATTTTATTGATAACCACTTGTGGTATTACAGAAAGACCAAAATTGAAAAATTCATTTTGGATTTATGGAACTAAAAGTATAGGTTTATGAGAATTGAAACCTTATGTATGGACAACCTTTGCCCTGCTTAATATTGTAAACAAACATAATCATCTTATAATCTAAACAAGAGTATTTTATTATTTTCAATGAAAACTTAAAAAATCTTAAGTAATCTAATGATCACTAGCCGCATGGGTTCAAACCCTGTCAGGGACAGTTAATTGTTTCCTTGAGCAAGAAACTTTCCACTCATTTCTTAGTACTGGTTGGTTCCATGAACGGATTCCAAAGTGTGTCTCTAGCTTAAAACTTCCAACTCAATCAAAATAAAATAAATTCTGTATAAACTTAATATGTATTTATTGAATCGGGAACAGTGCAGATCATGATCAGATGACATTGACATGCCGGCTGATTTTGGTCTGCACTGGTAGCACGAGTAGATTTTATGCTGTGTACATGAACGATATAGGGAAGAATTACTGGTAACTACAAGGTCTGTGAT